AATTTGACCGTTTTAAAAACGACTGGTGAGACGTTAGTAGTAGAGCTCGCGTTTTGGTCAGGCGTCTGCAGAAAGTTAACGCTACTTGCGATTTACGATTTAAACTTTAAAGAAGTTTAAAATCCATTCGTGCGTACATCTGTATAATGTTTTATCCGATATAATTCTACGTCTCCACCTATCGCGGCGTCGAGGAGAGTACTCGAAGATTCTTAACGAGAAAGTTAAAGTTGCCGATCAAATTTAAACTTGCCTCTTCGTAGAAACGAAGATTCCAACGCGCGAGTGTATACACATCGCACACGTCATATCTTACGAGCTACTTTACATGCACGCCTCGCTGCTACAAATTTTCTGGACAAATTGTATTCTTTGCACGTATTCTCGACAAGTCTCTCCGCTGTTGCGCGTTACGAGTTTTTCCATCGTGGAAAAAGTTTCATTTGCTCGTAAAATGTTAAAAGTGTGCAAACATCCGTTCGAATAAAAATATTTAGATTATTATCGGCGAAGAAACGTTCCTTTCGATTCGAAGAAAACGTCGTATCTTCATTTTTCGCTCTTTCAGCGAAGATCAAGTAACCGTGGACGCAAAATCCTCATTAATTTTGAATATCCAATGGTGGTTTCTATCGAGGAAACGAAGCCGAGAGATTAGGTTTCGTGGTTGGAACGACGAGCAGGGACAATTAGCACGAGGCTGAGCACGTTTCAAAGAAATTTCACGCGTGTGGGAAACACGTTTGTTACAAGTGGCACGAGAAACTTCGAGTTGACACGAGCGAATGTACGTGGCATCGTTTCCAGACAACGTGCGTTTATACGCGGCACGGAAAAATCCGTGGAAAATTTTGGCCGGAATGGATTTTCAAAAATATTGCGTCCATCGCATCGATAAAGCGATAAAATAAGGAAAAAAGCATAAAGAATGCTGTGGAAATGGCTCGATTCTCCAATTCTCAATCCGAGTTTGTAGAACCTCGTTGAACGAAATCGATGCTCGGAGGAATCGAGCAATATTGAACGTTTGAGAGAGTTTGCGATATTGTTACACAACGCTATTAAATCACACGGAACAAGTTTTATCTATCTAAGCAGCATCATTACCTAAACTGTTAGCCTGCAGCAATTCTGGGAAGCTTTAGAACGTAGTTACGAACCGTTTAATAATGGAGTCAAACATATCCGATCCTTTAAGCTATGGAACAATGTTACCCGACAACTGTTTGAAACTAAACATAATAGTATCGTAGTATCGTCACGAGTTAAGATTATACAACGAGCGTAGTCTCATTGACACGGAGGAAAAACGTTTGGAGAAAATTTGTTTAAATTAAAGGATCGATCCTGATTTTTTACTTGTATTGTTTCCATGTATTTCGATGCATCGAGATCGAGTATTGCAACGAGATTGCTTTTCATCAGTTCTGTGGCATTGATCCGCGCTTTGAATGGAGGGCGTTAGATATCGGTTATTTCGAGCGTGATCGATCATTGGGGTAGCAGAGCGTAAAGATAAACGTCTATACGGGTCCATGAAGAGGCTGAAAGATTAGTTAAGAGCTTTTCTCTACCTGTCGTCGTCCACCATCGACTTCTTCAAATCCGAACAACTCTACTACTTTACTCTAATATCAATTAAAGGATCCTACTAATTAAACGAAGTACATAGCTAGAAAAAAAAAAATATTTGAACGCAAAATGCGTTCCAACGTCCGATTCGTACAATAAACGTTACGGCGAAGTTCAACGAGTCATGGCGAAACGAAGGAAGGATCAGGATGAGGAGTCTGTTATTATTTACAATTCATATGCGCGCATAATGCAACGGGAACAAAGAGAATCGGGAGCAGTAGCTTGTGTATTTATCGCTAGAGAGAAGAACTTTTGCATGTAATGGATACGATATATATATATATACGAGCTATTTAAATATTAAAATAATTCATTTCAGGTAAATCCTCCTTATAATCGGGAAAGAAAAAAAAAAAAGGAGGGGCAAAGAATGGTTTTTGCAGATTGGTTATGAATTTATAAAGAAAAATTTAGGATCGCGAGCGTAATAGGACGGTGTTTATCGGTGTCTCGGGCAGAATTGACGCAGGGAAATGAGAATAATGTTTCTGCACGACAAAGTGGATGGAATTACTCGTAATTTGGTAATGAGCGCGGCGGCAAGAATCACCATAACCCACATCACGTACCCGTGGTCATATGCGTAATGTAATGCGCGTAATGCACGTAGGTATTACAACAATAGGATCTACCGATCCGTCGTTTACCGTATTTCCCTGCGAATTTACACGACGCCGCGATGCGTGTAATGCGAATATATTAGCTCCTATCTCCCTCCACAAATCTTTATTTTATCCCTCTCTTTCTCTTTAACAAATATAAAACGCAACAGTGGAGTAAAAAATGGATCGAGACGATAATCGAGAGAGAGTAATTAGAAGTATAGCAGAAAAATGATGATTGGAGAAAAGGAGTAACAATATAATCGACAGCCGAATTCGGCCTCGAGAATTCAGAATGTTAGAAGATGAAATAAGAATCTGTAGTGGAAAGAATACGTCCAATCTTTGTCCCACGATCAAATAGAATAGAACCCAATAGTAACCCAATCTGGTCGGGGAACGAGCTTGTGAATACGTTAGTAATGCCCACGATCAGGATGGAACCACGATGTTGGAATCGGTGGAACGGCCATTATACCGAGGCTAAAAGAGCCACGAGGACGGACATCACTTTCGGCTAGGTACATTCCCGATAAGGTTAGCCGATCTGTTCATTGCCATTGTCGTTGTCGCGTGGAATCGCACCGCTGTAAACTGTTTACAGCCCTCCTGTTCCCCGGTAAACGCGCGCACACAGCGTTTCGATCGCACGTGCACGAGGCTTACGGTTGGCCAACGAACACGTCCACCCGGGTGGGACACAGGTCCACCAGGCATGGATCGGTCATCCGTGGAAAATTCGCGGAGGCGTGATGCTCACTTGATCGTGAACAATTCCATCACGCCCGGATACACCGTGACCCCTCTCCCTCTCCCCCGCGCCTCATTCTCTCTTTTTCTCGTCGTCGATTTCTAAGTAGACAAATAACCCAGACATCTTGGTCCTTTTCTCTTTTCCTCTTCGATACGGTTTCCTCCTCTCTGCTTATCGCTGCTGTGTAATTAACTGCCTCGACGAGGATGTGAAATAAACGAGGACAATGGCAAGGGTAATGGCGAGACGTAATTTAGGGTGTGATTACATCGAGTAGCCAAGTATCGGGGAAGAAATTTAAAGAGACAATATCGGGAATCGATTACGATACTGTTTATCTCATTGACGCATTTTCCATGCGAGGGAGATTCGAGATGGTGAATTTTAATATGAATTTAGTTAGAAATTGTCGATAACGAGAAGAGGGAGTTGAGGGTTAATCGACGTAATTCTAGGAAAAGTCGTTGGAAGAAAGGCTAGCTTTTAGGGAAGGCCAAGTGTGAAATTGTTAATAGATGAATCGATGTGTTATTGTTTCTTTTTTCGATCGTGGACAATCAAATTCTTGCTTCGTGAACCGATATTAAAAGAGATCGTAAAACGCAATAATAGAAAGAAAATATGTAAAGATAAAAATTAAAGATAGTTCAAAAATAGAGCAAAAAATTTACAATTAATCTTTTTTAGACTTTTTTAGACATGTTATATATATTATAGTGGGATGTAACTAAACGCAATTTCTTGTTCTATCTGTCCTCCATGCTAACCATACTCCTCATCGTGCAAATACGTCCTTTGATCTAGGTATCCTCTATCTCGTCGTCTAAGGCTTGTTATGGATAGCTTTACTGATGAGTTGTCCACTAACAGGCTTCGGATGAAAAACCTTTCTTTTTTTTTTTACTCTGTCTTTTTTGTATCTATCATTACACCGTCACAGACTTCAGCTTCAAATGAATGAAAATATGAAAATATTTTTTTCGATATTTTTAGTTCATCTATTGGAATTTTCGATCGCGAATCTTTTAGAACAAACCGTAAAAAATAGTCAATTTTCCCGAGGAAAATATTACATCGTACAAATGATCGGTTAGGATGCGAATCACATTGTTGAACAACGCGCATGAACATAACGCAGATATGTATATCTATATTGTTACACGGCTATCTATACGAAGGCTTTTTCTAAAAAGAAAAACAAAGAAGAAAGACGTATAACATGGTGGAGGATGTAGGTTCGATAGGGCATCGTCGAGAAATTTTGATTTTATTGCGCGCACGTAGCATCCTCTTGTTTCGCGTGAATCGCATGAACGAAATTTCGTGCTAGTGGCGAAAACCGCCTCTGTCCGCTTCGCCTTTCTCGTCACTTCTGTCGTTTTTATTTAGTCCTTTATCCGTTTGACCATCGCTTTTTCCGTTCCTCACGTCTCTGATTTTGACCTCGTTAACCACCGCAGGTTAAAAGTCAGCGTTTAATATATTTTTTTTATCATTGATGTTAAAATGTTTTTAACGAAATCAATTTTAAAATCAAAATTTATATATATCGAATATTTTTAATTTGTTTAAAAATTTTTAATTTATTTCAAATTTAAAAATATTTGATATATAGATTTAATATATTTAATTTCATTTTTTAATAAAACATTAACAAGCTTATTAATAATATATTTTGTAAATACGATATCGTTTTATTTGGAAAAATTTTTATGTAATACGCTGCTAATAAAATAAATAATAAAAATATTTTTATGTTATATTCATATTTCATTTTTAAAAATAAGAGATTTTGAGATATTAAATGATGACAAAAATAATAAGAATTGAATAAAAAATAATGGATAAAAATAAAAATTTTTAAATTATAGGATATAAAATATAAAAAAATCCTAGACTAAGTAAATATGAAATAACAAATATTAATATACAAAAAAATCGAAATATTTGTGGTCATTATATATTATATAAAAAAATCACTTACCAGTATTAGAAAGCATGTGTCTTATCTCGTAAGTAATACTATAGCAAATTAAATGCAAAATTCATGCACGATTATATCTTCATTTGATAACGAAGTAATTCGACAGACGAGGTCGATAAACGATCGTATCGATAATGACGCAAGTAGATGCCTGCAAATTTCAATCAAATATTCTATCAATAATTTTATTATTTTATTAATCTACACAAAATAACACTTCTAAATTGATACATTTTAATAAATAAAAACTATTTACAATACCAATAAAGTTAATAAATATAATTATAAGTTTATATGAATTAATATATTAAATTAATAAACTATAAAATTAAGCAATTAATCGTATGATATTAAAATTTTAAATTTTAATAATATTTCATATTGAGATATTCGTTCGATGTTTATACATGTGTGACTTTACGCGCCGAATTATATATATTTGGTGGGACGAGGCATCAGTTACGCTTTAACCATCGTACAGTATAGACGTGAATTACGAAAATTTTATAAGATATAATTACTTACCAATTATAAACAATTATTATCAAATTATTATCAAACATTATATTTTCTTGCTTCTCGATTTTTTCTTGTTTTTCATGATTTATATGAATTAATATATCTGAAACAAATTTATTTACTGAATTAGCAGTTGAAAAAAAAAATTCATAGAAAAAAAAATATGTTGTATATGGTAAAAAAATTGTATAAATTAAATAAAATTGAGTTATTATTATTATTTGAATCTTCAAAAAGAACAATGAATAGTCTATATTTTTCTGAAAATTTTGAAAAAAAATTGTATAAATTAAATAAAATTGAGTTATTATTATTTGAATCTTCAAAAAGAACAATGAATAGTTTATATTTTTCTGAAAAGTTTGAAAGATGAAAGCAAAAATGTATACTATAAAAATATATAAACCACATTATTTACTGAATTAGCAGTTGAAAAAAAATTGATAGAAAAAAAATATGTTATATACCATAGTAAAATTGTATAAATTGAATTAATTATTATTATTTGAATTTTCAAAAAGAACAATAAATGATATATATTTTCTGAAAATTTTGAAAGATGAAAACAAAAATATATACCATAAAAACACATATAAATCACATTAAACAATTGTCTTCGATATCAAAATATAAAAAATAAATAAAATCACTTCATTTTTTCTAATGATTAACAATTCAACATGCCGATTTCACATTTTGTCATGATGATTTTTGACAAACAAATGATACTACGCACCATTATCCGGTACAAGCTCACCAAACTATTTTCTGATTGGCTATTGCCGTATACTGGTTTTATATTCAAAAATTGAACAAAAAATCGAAATGTTGTACAATACACTTTAATTTAGAATTCTTATAAGATACAAAAAAAAAAAAAGAAAAATTATTTTATTAATATTATAATATCTTATTATAATTAATTTAATATAAAAATAAAAATTTTAAAACGAAATGATAAAAAAACTAAAAAATATAATAAATAAATATATAGATAATTTAACTAATTCATAATAAATATTTATGCAATAATAAAATAATAGATAAAAAAATAATTATAGATAAGTCACAATTAAATTGATTGATAATCTATTAAAAATAATCACGATAATATCTCACATTAAATATGAATTTTGTATATCGATCACAATTACAATTTTTTTTCATCTCAATAGTGTTATTGTCTCATTTTAAAACGATAATGCCACACATAATTTAATACAAAAAATTAATAAAATTTATTATTATTTATTTAAATTTAATATCTTATACTTTAATAATTTTTGTACTTTTATTAAGTACTTATTATTATTCTTTTTTTTTTAAATTATAGGTTTTATCTAGAAATATTTTTTACTTCGTTTTTGATTTTTATTTGCAATGAAATGTTACTTGGTTTATTATATATTATATAAAATATCACTTTAAAGGCAATATAATAAATTATACACAATTATATTTAACAAAATAAAAAAATAAAATTTTATTATACGATGATGAATCTATTTTATATATTGTCTATGTTAATATCATAAGAACATGGCGTCGATTATTAAAGGTGCGACATTTTTTTAATTGATTGTAAATATTTAATACATATGCCTTGTTCTTTTAATTATTGATTATAATTTGTATATAATGTAATATTTTTAGATACGGGTGAAATTTGGAGCCGATTATTCGATCACCGACCATTCATTCAAGGTGAAATAACATTTTTCCTACGCGAATTTCAGGTAAAGAACTTTTGAGTTCTTGCTATTAAATACCTGCATTTCCATACAAAAAAAAATATATATATATATGATTATATAAAAAAATCTATAAACTACTATCTTAATGAAGATTAATTGATCATTATATGAATATACATTAACAATATCATCTTACATAACCTATAATTCGACAACCAAAAAAAATTTATAGGAAAAAAGAGACGATCGAGAAGTGGAACGACTTTTCAAGATACTTGAATATTCAACAGATTTAAAAGAAAGTCAACTCGATCGAACAGAACAACTTGGGGATTGTCATTTACCTAGCTTAAAAGCAAATGTTGATGTTGCTCTAAGTATGTGTGAAAGAGTTCTTCAAAAAGAACAAGATTTTGACAGTGTATGGGTTATTTTCATTTCAAGATTTGAATTAAATTTTTAGAAATATCTCACATTAATGTCATTAATTAGGAGATCCAATAATTTTTTTAGGATATAGCATTACAAACAAATAGAGAAGCAAGGAAAGTAGAATGGGAAAAATTTGTTAATGATATGAGTGAAAAGTGTGAAAAAGTAAATCAAACTTTTGAAGAGAAAGAAAACGAAATAAAAGAATTTTACATTGATTTAGAAAGAAAATTACACATCACATCATAAACATATAATAACTATTTCATTCTTATACAAAATATAGCAATATTATATTAATATATTTTATGCATATATTCTAATAATTTATAACATAAAATAATACCAGGCTTGTATTTAATATATAAAAAAAATTTAATAAAGTTATTTTATTATTAATATAACATTTATATTTATAAAATACAAAAATGCCAGTTGAATCAATAGAAGATCCTTCTATAAAAATCAAACCAAATAAGAAATTAGTAGAATTTATTTGCAAAAATGTAAAGAAAACAAGTAGTACTCCAGCTGTTATTATTGCTTTAAAAAAATCAACTAAAGATAAGCAAAAAGATATTTTATTAAAACTGGATGAATTAAAATGGTTAAATAAGTATTTAGAAGAATATAGAACGACCAACATGGAAAGTATTTATTTACATGAGCTTTTAGAAGAAGATGATATCAAATTACCGACTCCAAAAATTATACCAAGAAATCCTGAATTGGAAGCCAGAACACAAAAATTGAAAGCACAACAAGATGCTATCAAATATAAAGCTATGACAAAAAATGTAGATACAACTACAATGAAATTACCAGAAGACAATATTTCATATCAAAGTAAGATTTTTATTTTAAAAAAATAAACTTCCTTTGACATAATTTTCATTTATATTTACCTATATATATATATATATATATATATATATATTTTATTTTTTTT